TTGGGATCAGACTGGACAGCACCACCCTTCTTTCTTGCTCTACGTTTTTTTTTTTTTTAGATTTTTTTTATGAGAGAGAGAGAGAAAGAGGCAGGCAGAGGGAGAAGCAGGCTCCTTGCAGATGTGGGACTCAATCCCAGGACCCTGGGATCATGACCTGAGCCAAAGGCATACACTTAACCGACTGAGCCACCCAGGCGTCCCACGTTGATTTTTTTTGGCCTGTATTTGGTAACTGCTAAAAACCCAGCTTCCCCAAGATATGACGTCACTGAAAGGGATTTGGCGCCATCTAATGTTGAAAGGCAACTACCAGGAACTCCTAGTTCCCAGGAGATCAGACGCACAGCTGATCTTCTGGTACTTCTCTTGGAAATTTAAAACCTCTCCCTGGGCCCCTGAGAGCTTGCCGCCAGTGGCTCAGCACAGTCTGGGAACAGGGGATTTAGTCTGCTGGGAAGATCTTGTTCTAGTCCAAGAACACACCCTGAGTGAGCTCCATAGAATTCCTATTAGCAAGTATGTAGGCAATTTATAATTTCAAACAACATCATTTCCAAACAATGTTGTGATAAAAACCCTTCTACACGTATTTTTGTGTCCTTTCCAATTACTTCATTCACTCATTAATTTAACTCATTCTCATTACACCACGATTATATTGCCAGGCACACTCTGAGATGCTGGAATTATAGAGGTGAATACAGGGTCCCTCATGAAATTTACATTCTCCTGAGGGAGCAAGAAACAGAAAAACGAATCCTTTCAGAGAGTGGCAAGCTACGCAGTAAAATAAAGTCAAGACCAGGGTTAGAGGTCACCCTGCTGGCTCAGTCAGAAGAGCATGCAACTGCTGATCTCTGGGTTGTAAGTTTGAGCCCACATGGGGTGCAGAGATTACTTAAAGACCAGGGGTTAGAGGATGCAGGGGGGACGCTATTTAAACAGAGTGGTCAGGAAAGCTGTCTTAACAATATGACACCTGAACAGAGAATGTATGGATGTACAGGAATAAGCCTGGGTAGGCCTAGGCAATGTTGTTCTAATGCAGCAGGAGCAGTGAATAATCAAATCCTTGAGGCAGGAATGAACTCGGGAGTGTTGGAAGAACAGGCAGGTCGGTGTGGTTAAAGAAGACCCAAAGGGGAGTTTGGTAATGAGCTGGAGAGGTAGGCGGGGGCCAGATAAGCCAGGACCTCAATACAGTTCAGAGTAAGCAGTCTGGATCCTCCGGAAGGAGTCCATGCCGGGGAGAGACATGATAAAAAGAGCTCCCCAGCTGCTCGGCAAACTGCGGCAGGAACAGCAGGGGTAGGGCCACTGCAGTATTCCATGGGAAAGGTGGGACATGTCGGTCCAGATGGAGATGGTCATAAATGGCCGGATTCCAGGCACACTTTGAAAGGCAGAGCGGACAGACTGTCAGATGGACCAAGTGCAAGTTGTGCGGAGAAGAATCAAAGATGGCCTTTAGGTTTCTGGCCTGAGTTTAAGTGGATGCATGGTATGGCCACTGTGTGCTTGCTGAACCAGACAAGACCCGCGGAAGGGCATGCTCGAGAGCAGAAATTCAGAGTTTTTTATTTAAGGATAAAATTTTAGAACTGGTAATACTGGACCAAGGAATACGCACCACACGACTGATAAAACTGTCAAGACTGTCCTCCAAAAGGGCTCTTCTACCAACAATGTATAAGCATGCCTATTTCCCAATACTTTTGCCAGCAGAGAAAAATCAGATAAAGGAAAAAAAACTTTAATTTGCACGTTTTTATTAGTAAACTGAGTATTTTTTATTGGCCATTTGTACTACTTCTGTGAGCTGCTTATTTGTATCCTTTATTTGTCTAGCAGGTGTGTGCTTTTTTACTGATTTGTAAGTGTTCCTTATATATTAAGGAACCTAGCCTTGACTATCACAGTGCAAATACTGTTTCCCGATCTGTTTTTCAGACGTCCACTGTGCCTCTGATAAAGACAAGTGGCTCTTATTTTCATATAGTGAAATGTGCCCTGCTCTTCCTCGTACATGAAATGCTGGGGCGTCTGACTGGCTCAGTCAGAGGGGCACGTGGCTCTTGATCTCGGTGTTGTGAGTTTGGGCCCCATGTTATGGTGCAGAGATTATCTAAAATCTTAAAAGAAAAAAATGCTTGGCTCAGTGCCTAGCACATGATAGGCATTCAGTAAAATTTACCTGTAATTCATTCATTACCATGAAGGGGTTCTGCCCCTGGAATCAGCCCCCCCAAGCCTTCTATATTTCGCTGGTGCTTTCCAGTTTTGCTTTTTAGATTTAAAGCTTAACTCCACCCAGAATTTATTCTTTGGTATGCTGTGAGCTTACGAGGTTCTAACTCCTGACATAACTTTCACGCAGCTGTGCCTTATCCTCCAGCAAAACTGTCTCCATCCACGAAGATGGCCATTCAACACCATTCTCTCCAGCCACTTGGCTCCCTCCGGTTCACTCCACAAAGGAGTCCAAGTCACCAACAGCTCTCCCCCAGAACCACCCTCCTCCCAGATCTCTCCCACTCTCTTCCTCAGCCCTCCCCCGCAATTGGCTCTTCACAGGGCAACCAAAGTACTAGCAGTTTGCGGTCTTTTTTTTTTTTTTAATGTAAATTTGATGTCACTCTTTGGCTTATAATTCTCCAAAGGCTTCCTATTAAAAACAGAATGAAACTCAGATTCCTTACCATGATTTACAACATCCCCCCTGGGCCTGCCCAGTCTCATGCTTCTCCAGCCCATTTCGATAACTCTCCTCACCCGTCTGAACCCGTGTCACACTGGCACTTCTTCCAGCCCCTGGGACATACCAAGTTCATGGCTCCCTCAGGCCCTTTGTACCTGCTGTTTCCTCTGTCTGAAAAGCTCTTGTTCGAAGATCTGTGGCCCAGAGGACTGGCTGCCTCCTCTTCATCCAGGTAATGTCACCTCCCCAGAGGGGGCTTCTCGGACCCTGACATCGCCCCGCCCACAGGAGCCTCGCACCTCGGTAACTCCCCTTCGCTCCATTCAAAGCACTTGCCATGAACCGAACTGTCTTCTTTGCTCCTTTATTTGTACGTTTACTGTCGGCCTCCCCTGCCCCTCCCTTGCCACGGACGGTGCCCACAGGAGGCAGAGTCCTCCTGCGTCTCGTCCAGCTCTGCAACCCTGGCGTCTGTCGTGTCTACCACACAGCAGGCGTTCAATGAGTAGTTGTGGAAGGGGGAGCGGGGATAAGGAATCTGGGGTCTCGCTTCGCATCCGCACTTGCAAAGCGCCCCCCATACACCCCCAGGATTCATCCGCTCTTGCTCGGCGTCGCTGCCCCGATCTCCCCCCACCCCCGGCTGCGGCCCGGCCCCCGGCCCGGACACAGCGCCGGGCTCGCTCACACCCTCGCGACACTCGGCTCCGGCGGCCCGTCACCCTGGCGGCCACGGTCGGGCCCCGCCGGCGCCGCGGCAGGGAGCAGAGGGAGGGCAGGGCCGCTTACCAGTTCATCCGGACTGAGGACTCCGAACTGCACTCGCTTGATGGTGCGCAGCGGGCATGCGCTGTCCCCGGAGGGGGGGCCACCCCCGTGCATCGCGGAGGCCGGCGCGCTGCGCAGGCGCAAACCTCTCTACAAAAACCCTGCGCCGCCTCCGCCTAGGTGCTCAGACCCCGTCGGGGCGGCCACCGGGAAGGACCTCCCCGAGTTGGGAGGAAAAAGCCGGAGGAGGGAAAGGTGGGGGAGGGAAGGAGGCGGGGAAGTGAAAAAGGAGCGAAAGGAGCTCTCCTCCCCCTTTCCGGAGATTTTTCGTCTCCCAAAAAGGAAAAAAAAGAAGGGGGGGGAAGGAAAAGGTTTCGGGGGGGAGGAAGAAGAAAAAGGGTAACGAATAAATAAGTAACCAGACTCCTGAACGGCAGAGGTTACGGCAGTTTGTCTCTCCCCCTTCCGGGAGCCGCCTTCTTCTCCAACCGTCCCGGCCGCGCTCTCGGCGCTTCTGAGGAGAGAACTGGCCGAATGACGCCCTTTATAGATTCGCCCCTGCATCCCCGCCCCTTCCTTTCCCGCCCTCCCTTGCGCTACGGGGTCGCCTGCGCCGGCCTGCACGGAGCGCGCGCTCGAGTCGTTGGTCGGCCCTCCCCGGCTCCCTGGTTGGACGACCTTTAGAAGTGACGCGGGGGAGGGGAACGTGTTTGACCCCGCCGCCTCCCCTCTCTGCTCCCTCCCGCCCCGAGATGTAAGGTTTGAAGGACCGAGGGGAAATACAGGCCGCTTTTATTCTAGTTTGGACCGTGCTTTCGTCTTCAGCAAAAGTCTCCCATTAATATTCCCCCCCCCTCCGCTGGGAAATGGTCTGTTCTGCGAATCGGTAATGAAGGAGGCGGGGCCGGTCGGATCCTCCCAAGAGGGTTCCCGGAGGGGGGAGCGCTGGGGCCGTCCTTGGTTATGAATATGCAGTAACCACGCTGAATATGCATGAGCCGATCAAGATGGCGAGGCAAATCGCTTGTCCGGAAGTAGCTGATGTTTGTCGAGCGGCCTCCTGGGACCGGTGGGCATCTGCGGGCCTCCAAGGGAGCGCTGTACGGAACTCTGGCCCTGGAGCCCCCGGCCCGAGCCGCTCGAAGAGGGCCTCCGCTCAGGGAGCCTTCTCCGGAAGGAGGCTGGCCACTGTCCGGGAGAGATCACGGGACCGCGACAATCCAGGAAAAGCAGATTAGCCATGGGGCGGGACGCAGAAGTCCTGGGGGATTCAGGGTCAAGGCGTCTGAACGTTAGGAAATCCTACCCCCTTCTAGAATATTTCAGAAACAGATTGGCGGGGGGGCGGGGGGGCGGGGGGGCGTCGGCGCGGGGGGGGGGGGGGGGGCATAACCATGAGGAAAGGAAACCGTCTCTCAGGAGAAAAAGGCACACTCCCTTACCCCCACGGCTCGCTCTGTCCGTTTGCCCAAAAGCCGCCCAAACACTCCAGCCCCAATGCTCTTCTCTCTGCTGCTGAGGGAAACCCCCCCCCATGGCTCATGGCCCGCCTGCCTCTCAGCCCCTTTGGTTTGCTCCTCAGACCTTACTTACCCCGTAGTTATGCCCTGATCCCCAAGCCCCAGCCTAGACTCCTCTCGTCTCAGTCCCCACGCTTGTTCCAGGTCTTCTAGGCAGAGACCCTCTCCATCCCTGACTCCAAGGGGTGTCCCTCTCCCGTATCAGCTCTTTTCCGGTCACTTCTCCCACGTTTGTATTCCAGTCTCTCCTAGTGCTTCTATGTGCCCCTGCCCCCCCAACCCCCAGGCTCTCCAGTTCGATCTCACTCCACCACCTGCCCTTCCCTCTCACAGCTGAGGTTCTGGGCCGTGATGATGGCGATGCTGCCCAACACCACCCCTGCCCCCATGATGTCGGAAGGCGCCACGGTCTCATAGAGCACGTAATACTGCAGCATCAGGGCCACCACCACCTCGGAGTGCAGGACGGCGCACACCAGGGCGGGGTGGGCCTTCGTGACTGCATAGCTCACACACACAAAGGAGACCAGGGCGAGGATCCCCACGGCCCCCACACAGCTCCAACTCAGAGGATCATTGGGAAGCACAGGGGTCTGCAGTACAAAGAGGCCTGGCACAGAGCCCACCAGCCCCACCAAGCCAAACAGGAAGGCCACTGTCGGTAGGCAAGAGGGGAAGTCCAGGGAGCGATAGACCAGGAGCCCCAGCGACAGTGCCAGGCCGCCCAGGAACGCGAGCACATAGCCCAGGGCAGTGTAGAGGCCCGTGGTCCCCTCCTGCAGTGTCCCTAGTCCAGGTCCCACAATGATGATTAGTCCCAGGGTGCTGCCCAACAGACCACACCAGTCGTAGCCGCTGAGCCCCTGACTCTCGAGGCAGAGGGCAAGGAGAGCAGAGCAGACGGTGGAAGAACCTTTGCGGACCGTGGCCGCGTTGCCGGCAGGCACCACCTGAACTGCACTGTAGGCGCATCCGATGCTGAGGACATTGAGCAGGGCATGGAGGCAGGCCCGGCCCCGGACATCGGGAGGTCCCAACAGTGGGTCACCACGCAGCTTCAGTAGTAGGGCAATGGGAAGGTGGAAGAGACACCGACAGAGGAGCAGCTCCAGCGAGGGTAAGTGGGAAGACTGGTAAGCCATACGGGAGAAGGGGCCCACAAAGCCAGCCGGCAGGCCCCCACCCAGCAGGGCCACGAGCAGGCCCTTGGTGGCATCGGAAGGCCGGCAGCGCTGGTGCGAGGGGAGGCTGGGCGGAGTGGAGGGCGGCGATGGCTGAGTGAAGTCAGGCAGGTTGAAGTAGGGGTGACTGCCAGCCTGTGAGGGAGAAAGGAGCCGGGGCATTAGGGCAGCCGCGGGGCCAGGGGCCCCGGGGTGGGGCGAATGCCAGGCTGGGGTCTGGGACCTCGCGGGACAGTAACGGGGGGGGGGGCGGGGGGGGAAGGGCAGGCTGTCTTGCTGCGGAGAACCCTCGGGAGCTTAGAAAGGGCCTGAAACTGGACGAGGGGGGTACAGTCTGGGCCTTGGGCCTCTAAAGCAGGAAGCAGGGGGTGAGCGGTCTTGGCGCATCATGTTTCTCGGAGTGAGCTGTTCTGTGAAGAAAAAGAGGACCCAGGGGTGCCCTGTTGGTTTGGGGAAGGGGAGGTAGCCTCAGATGCTGGGCGTCTGTGTGATGTCACAGGTTCCAGGGACATCTGGGTACACCATTGTGATTTTCATTTGTGGGTGTCTCCAAGACAGCTGGGAAAGTTGTAGGGGAAGAGACAAAAGGGAGCGGCCAGGAGCTACAGGGAAGGGGGCTATGCCTCCCTGACCCCCATACTCACCATCTTTCCTTGGACTTCCTCTCTACTCCTGGCTCAGGGGGCCTGGGCCCTTCAGAGCTCCAGCCCTTGTGACCTGGTTGGAGTGGGAGTGGGGTTCTTCCCTGGAACCTTCCTGAGGTGGGGGTGGGAGGTTCTTCCCTGGAACCTTCCTGAGGTGGGGGTGGGCCTAGTTTCTCATTGTTTCCAACCCGGCTGGCTCTTTATGTCTGTCTCTCTGGCTCCAAAGTTTGTCTCATTTCTCTCTTCTTTTTCTCTCTCTCTCTCTTTTTTTTTTCTTTCTGAGTAGCTCTGTGATGAGACTTCTTTCGCTTTATATTACTTTGTTTATGTATGTCTCACCTTGTTTCAGAAAGGTTTTGTGGGAAGGAGCTCTGAGGGGCTGACGGCTGTGTCTCCTGAGTTCTGAATTTTTGAACGCCAGGGAGGAGTCTCTGGGACTGTCCCTCTGGAGTTTCAGGAATGTGTGTTTCTTCTGTGTGCTTCCACCTGGTGTTTTGTTGGTGGTGTCCCAGGAGGTGCACACCAAGGCGGCTGCATTTATGCACAAGTATACAGATGTGGATATTTCTGCCGGTGGGGACAAAATACCAAGCTGCGTGTTCATCTGCACCGGTAGTCATTTCTGTAGGGCTGGGGCCTTGCCTGGCCCGCAGCCCGGTGGGGGGCCCTGCGCATTTCTGGGGAGGGGGGGCGGGCATGTGCGTGTGTCCAGGGCTGCCCCCGTGAGCGTGCTGAGCCTGGGTCTGCGGGTCCCGCTGGGCCGGATTGTGAGCCTGCCATGTTGTGTGTCTGCGGAGAGGGTGTGCGTGCTCTGGGCGCTGTGCCCCGCCGAGTGAAGGGCGTGCAGGGGGCGGGGGGCGTCCCTTGCCCGGGACTGGGTGGTCGTGCGGGCCTGCGGGGGTGCCGCGGCCAGGCCCGCGCCCGCTCGGTGTCCACCCGCCCGGCGGCCCGGCGCTGCGCCTTTCCGGTCCCGGGATCGGTCCGGGCCGAGGCCGTCGGGCGCGCTCGCCCCGGAGCCTGAGCGCGGAGCCCTGCGTCGGTGTCGGCTGCGCTGCGCCGGCCTCCTCTCGGCGGCGGCGGCGCTGGGGGGGGTACTGTTTCCGGGGGTGGGGGTGGGGGTAGGACCGGGGCGGGGGGGAGCCGATGATGTCAGCGGCGGCGGCGGCGGCGGCGGCGGCGGGGCCGGGCCGGGGCCGGGCGCTGGGGGGGGCCGGGGCCGGAGCCGGAGCCGGAGCCGGAGCTGGAGGCGGGCGAAACCGGAGCGGCCGGGGGCGGCCACGGGGATGAGCCGGGCCTGGCGGACGCGGCGCCATCGCAGTCAGGTGGGCCCCGGGGCGAACCGGGCAGGGCCAGGGCGGACCGGAGCCAACAGCCGGGCCCCCTCCCCGCTGCCCGGCGCCGCGGGGGCCCGAGCCGCGCCCCGCGCCGCGACCGCTCCCCTCTGGGGTTGACCTGGGGGCTTAGGGGTCGGGGGCTGAGCCTGGCCCCGCCTCCAGGCGCGCGCGGCGCTGGGGGGCGACTAAGGGGGCCCCGGTGCGGCGTCCTGCCCGGCGGCGGCCTGGGGGCGCGATCGCCCGGGGCCAGGGAGGGGGGCTGCGCTCCCTCCCCTCCCGAAGGGTTAATTCTGCAGGCCCGGTGCCCCCCTCCCCCCCGTGGGGCAGGTTGGGGGTGGGGTGGGGCGGGTGTGAGCCCGGGCCGGCGCTGCAAGCTGCTGGGAGGGCGATGGCGTAGGAGCCAGGCAGAGAGGGGGAGGGGTGGGCCGCCCAGCGCCCCGGAGTTGGGGTGTGCGGGGTGCGCAGGGCGAGCGGGGGCCCCGGAGCCGCCGTGCCGTCGGGGCAAGGTTGTGGCTGTGAGTCCCGGAGATTGTGTGTCTCCTGCTGTGTTGTGGGTCAAGGTAAACCTCTCTTGGGCACCACCGTTTGCTCGTCCGGCAGCCAGGGGTCCGGGTAGGGCCCTCCCTGAGCCACGGGGCCAGAGAGCCTGATGGAGGGGTGTCCAGTGATGTGGGGCAGAATTACAAGAGGTGGCCCTGTGGCTTTGGGTGACAGGTCCGCATTGGAAAGCAGGGCACAATCCATGCAGAGTTTGTCAGATGTGTGGTTTTATGTATGTTTGATGCAGGCATGTGTTTTCTTGCACATATGAACTATTTATGAACTGTTGTTTTCTGCATAGCTGGCGTGGTTGGTGTATGTGCTGTGGAGGGCACGAGCGTGCCGTGGGGATGTGCCCGTCCGGAGGGGGCTGTTGTGTACCTTTGGGTCGGAAAGTGTCACGTCCGGGTCCCCTTTCTGTGCCCTGCCGAGGTGTGGCCTGGTGTTGGCGAGGATGGCCCGCCAGCTGGCTTTGTGGGTCTGTGTGTTGAGTGAGTTCCACAGGGGGGAGCAGGTCTAGAACTCAGGTCTGGAGGGTCTGTGGCAAGTGAGAACCCCCCAGGGTGTGTCCCCAGGTACTTGTGGGGCCCAGGGCACTGCCGTGAGAGGGGCTGGGGACGGGGATGGGGGGGGGCGAGATGGACAGGTTGTGTTTATGGGATTGTGCGCAGCCGGGCGAGGGCAAGGTTGTGTGTCTGTAACATTCTCTCTGGTATTCTTTTGTGACGTTGTTTGTGGGCGCCTGTCCGTGCCGTGGGGCTGGGAGGCGAGCTGGTCAGAAAACACTTGTGGGGAGGGAGGTGGCGTGACAAGGGCAATGTGGGCCTCAGCCTCGAGAGATCAGCCTCTGGCCGTGTGTGCGTGCTTGCCTTCTGCGAGTCTGAGCGGCGGCTGTGCGGGGCTGCTGGGGGGGTATGTTCTGAAGAAGGCAGGGAGATAAATATGGGGCAGAGCAAGGGCAGCGGGCGGGAGGCCTGGGTGTTGTCGGGGTGGCCTGGCACGTCTTTGTGCGGGGTCTCAGTGCTTGCCCCTCACGGCCCGCCCCGCGTGTCAGGGTCACCGGGAGGAGAGGCCTGGCGGCCGCAGGGAAACTAATCCTGCCCAGGCAGGGCGGCTTCTTGGCCATGTTTATGTAAAGGCCGGGTGTGACTCTGGTCACTGACATGGAGAAGAGAAACACGAAGTTTTCAGTCCCCTCCTCCGGCTTCGCTCTCTTCTCTGCCCCCCTCCCAGTACCTCTGCTTTCCCTGCTCTTCTGTGACGCACGCTCGCGGCCCTGCTTCTGCTGCTGCGGAAGGGTCTGGGAATGGAATTCGCTCACTAGGCAGATTGCTCAGAACAGGTTTTCCTCACCTTTGTGTCTGTGTGTGTGTGTGTGTGTGTGTGTGTGTGTGTGTGTGTGTGAGAGCGCGCACGCGCTGCGCCTGGCCTGGCTGCGGAGGGGGGGGGTGGCTAGGAGGGCACTGTGGCCTGCCCTCCGGTGTGATGGGAGTGGGGGCCGCCGGCCTCTGTGTGAGGCCCACACAACAGGTGCATTATGGCCTGCTGGAGGGGAGGGAGGCCTGGACTGGAACTGAGGGCTCCTGGCCCTGCCGCTTCCTCCCTGGCACTGGCCCTGAGTGGAGCCTCCATTCCTCATCTGCAAAATGGGGCTAGATCCTTGCCCTGCCTGTCTTCCAACAAGGACATAAATGGCACATGGAAGATGTACCTGGAAGGTAGCTCCAGTCTGGGGGCTCTGCCTGTGCCCGCCCCTGCGGAGCCCCTCATCGGGGCCTGGCCAGTAACAATAGCAGCAAACTCTTACTGTGCACGTATAGTGTACCAGACGCTGTTCTCCGTGCTTTTATATATGCTCGTTCATTTACTCTTTGCAACACCCCGTGGAAGGAGGTGTTCGAATGATCTTCCTTTTTCCAACGAGACAGCTGAGGCCCAGAGAAGTAAGTCATTTGCCCAAAGCCACTTTGCTGATAAGAGGGAAAGCTCTAGATCCTGTGCTCTTACGGGCCGTTCTCTGCTGCCTTTCTGAACGAAGCTTTCTGCGGGCCTCTCTGTGCACGCCCCCCCCACACCTCTCCCCCGTTTCTGCAGAACCTAGCACCTGTACCAGTCCATCTCAGAAGACCAGCGTGCTTTGACAATGACGCAGGGAGTCCCAGCCTAGGCAGTGAGGACCTACAATTGGGTGCTGGGTGCTGGCCGCGGGGGTACCCAGTGTTGATGAGCCAGGCACAGGAGAGATTGTCCTTGGCCTTTGGGTAGGGGAGGGCCAAGAGGGAGGTGGCATTTGAGTTACATTTTGGAGGGCTTTGGGCAAGAGGTTGGGAGAGACTGTGTCTCTGGCGGGAGAGATGGCACAGGCAAAGACAGGGGGGCCAGGGGGCCGGCGGGGGCACGCTGAGGTGGGAGAGCCCCCTGGGTGCCTGAAGGCAGTCTAATGCAAGGCAGGATTGGAAAGGAAGATTGGAACCGGACCCTTGGATGGATGGCTGAGCCATCTGAATTTTATTCCCGAGTGAGCGGGGGCCAGTGAAGCTTTCCGAGCCCAGGACCAATGCAGCCTGAGCCGGCTGGGGACAGGGCCCCTCAAGGAGAGGGGGACAAGGACACCGGGAGGTAGGCCTGGAGGGAAGGGAATAACCCTGGGCCAGGCAAGTGTTAACAAGGGCCTGAGCTAGTTCGGGGGCCAGAGGCGGGTTGAAGGGAAGCATTCCGGAGCCATTCCCAAGCCGGGCCGCAGATCCGACCCTGCCTGGTGAGGGCTGGACGCGGGGCGCGAAGGAGAGGGCGGCGTCAGATGGGACACAGTTAGGGCTTAGCACGTGAGACCTCATGTGGTGATTTCTGTGACCCACTGGCCGCCCACAGGCCCCTTCAGGGCAGGATTCCGAGGTCTGGCAGAGGGGAAAGATTTTGCATCTGGGTTCACACAAGCCCGGTTCTGCATTTTAACTCTGGTGCTCACATGCCGAGTGACCTTGAGCAGGGTAAATCCCTCTCCGGGTCTCAGTTTTCACATCTGTAAAATGGGGATGATACAAATTCCAGCCTTGGGTGGCTGTTCGGAGGGAATCATGCGGTGAGACAATCCACGCAAAACCCTGGGAGTGTATCAGGCAAAGCATGAGTGTGCCGGCCATGGTCACGTCATCCTCCTCATGCCCAGCTGCTGGCCGGCTCAGTCCACCACTGAGGCTGGCTTCCTTCCTGAGGGCGGACAGACCCCGGGACGACTTTTTGAAGGAGGCAGATCCATTCACTCCCCAAAATATTTTGGAACTCTCTCATTATGTACCGACCGGCACCGGTCTAAGCAATGGTGATAGCCGTGAGCAAAGCAGTGAACACCGCCCCCCCCCGGAGCTGACGTTCTAGAGAGCCATGAACAGTGTGCGGTGCTGAGTGCCAGGGAGGAAGACAGGGAGAGGGCTAGGAAGTGTAGGGAGGAGGGGGCGGCCAGGAAGGCCTCCAGGAGAAGGGGACCTGAGGCCAGGCTTCAAGGAGGTGGGGTGGCAAGGCGTGGGACTGTCTGAGGAAGACCATTTCGGGCAGAGGGAACAGTGGGAGGTGCTCGGAGCCGCCCCTCGGTCACACCTCTCAGATCACGTAGCCAGTCAAGAGTGGGGAAACCACGAAAACAAATAAAAAACTACAAACCACAGAGCCACCAAACTGCCCTGAAGCCTGATTTCTGCCTCCTCTTCTCTACCACTGCCCCCCACTACTTTTTGGGACTGAGTTCTGAGATAATAATAAGAGCGATAGCGTTTATGGAGCACTTACCAAGTACCAAGTACTCTACTCGGTACTGCCACGTCACGAGCTCGTTTAATCTCTACAGACAAGCCTCTGAAGGGGGAACGACTCATTATCCCCACCTTACAGACAAAGAGCCTGAGATACAGAGAGGTTAGGGAACTCGCCCAGGGTCACATAACTCCTGTGTTTCTCCTGTAAAACCCTGTAGGGTAGTCGCCCCTGATGGGCAGTTGAACTCCGGGGAGCTGGGTCCAAACCCCGGCTTGGTTAGCAGCGAGCCAGGGGGGCGGATCGCCCCACCACTGCATCCTCTCCTCTTTCAGGTGAGGAGTTTCGCGCATTGAAAGCCTCAGTTTACTCATCTGTACAGTGGGATTGATGAGAGACCCCGCTGTGGCTGTCTGGGGGTCCTTTTGAGTGTTGGCATGGGATGAGGCAGATAAGAGCTTAGCACTGTGCTCGTCCCACGGACCAGTTCTCGGGTGCCAGCAGGATGTCCTGCAATTCAACTCGATTCTGACACTATCCCTGTGGAGATACAGTCGGATCCCGCAGATTAAGGACTCAGTCCCATGAGACTGCCCGCTTCAGATGCCAGCCACAAGTCCGGGCCTCCCATACTTCTGGCCGGCCAGCTATACATCGGGGTTTCCCATGACCCCCTCTTCAGCTTCGAAAATATGCTAGAGAATTTGCTAGCATGGCCCGGTAGAACTGAAGTTGGTGCTTACTTAGGTTTAGTGGTTTATTGCCTAATAAAGGATATGCTAATTCAGGTGGATAGCCTGGAAAGGTCCTGAGCGCAGGCCCTTCTATCTGCACCAGTTGGGGTACGCCGCCCTCTTGGCAGGTGAATGTGTTCACTGACCCAGAAGCTCTGTGAACCCCATAGTGTAGAGATTTTTATGGAGGCTTCATCACGTAGGCATGATCAATTATTAACTCAATCTCCGGCCCCTCTCCCCTCCATGGAGGATGGGGGTGAGCTGAAAGCCCCGAGCTGCTGCTTCTTTTTTTTTTTTTTTAAAGATTTTATTTATTTGAGAGAGAGAGAATGAGAGATAGAGAGCACGAGAGGGAAGAGGGTCAGAGGGAGAAGCAGACTCCCCGCTGAGCGGGGAGCCCGATGCGGGACTCGATCCCGGGACTCCAGGATTATGACCCGAGCCGAAGGCAGTCGCTTAACCAACTGACCCACCCACGCGCCCAAAGCCCCGAGCTTCTAAAGATTTTATTTATTTATTTATTTATTTGGGAGCCAGAGAGCACAAGTGGGGGCAGGGGGAGAAGCAGAGGCAGAGGGAGAAGCAGACTCCCCGCTGAGCAGGGAGCCCGATGTGGGACCCGATCCCAGGACCCCGGGATCATGACCTGAGCCGAAGGCAGACGCCCAACCATCTGAGCCACCCATGTGCCCTCACCCAGTCTTTCTATTTAAAATGGGAAGCTGGGGCTCCTGGCCAGCTCCGTCTGTGGAGCATGCGACCCTTGACCTCAGGGTTGTGAGTTCGAGCCCCACATTGGGTGTAGAGATTCCTTAAAAATAAAATCTCTATGACAGGGAAACTAAGAAACTAAGTTGCTCCCTTTAGGCTAGTGATGAGGAGCGGAGGAGGTCATGCAAGTGAAGTGCTGGCTCTCAGCGGGGCCCAGCGGCCCAGGGACTATGATGGAAGGGGGGAGCTCTCTCCCTCCCTTCTCACTTTACCACCAGAACTGGACACCAGCCCACACGCGGGGCAGCTTCTGTAGGGGATGGGGGAGCTTCTGCAGGATTCCCGCCCCCCCTTCGATCCAGCATCTAGAGGGGTACCACCTGACCCAGTACTGGCATGTGCCTCGCAGTTGGGGCTGTTAGAGCTGTTGAATAGCTCCCCTCTACCACCTTCCTCGTCCTCTGGGAGAGGAATCAGAGCAGTCTTTTTGGGAACATGACACGGGCTGTGGCAGGGAGGCCTTGCAGCCCAGATCGTATGACTAATAAAGGGGAAAAGAGCATGGTGTTTTGGTGGGGAGGGGGGGTTTGTGAGGAACTCCCGCTGCAGGGTACCTCAGAGGTTGCATGTGGCCCAGGGCGTGGGGAAGGAGAGCCTTCCTGGGTTTCCTGGAGGGTGGACGAGAGGGGCCTCAGCTCAGCAGGTCTGCTCGGTGAACAGGCCCCCTGTTATTCCCAGCTGTGTGCAACTGTATGGCTCTGGAACCCAGATCTTCCGTTGAGAACTGGGACCCCAGAGTCCTGACTGTGCCCACCATGGGGGAAGTAGCTGTGAGGGGCTTTCTGTGCAGTGACCGCCACAGCTCAAATCGGGGTCGCCTGGTATTCCTTTCGGATGGGCCTTCCAGCAAGAGCTGAGGTCAGGGGTTGCATTTCCCTTCCCCCCTTTTAAGCCAAAGTCCCAAAGCCACCTGCGTTCAGAGTAAGGAGTGGGACCCAAGCTGCTTCATGCTGGGTCTGACAGCCTTAAAGGTGCCCTCCAGAGACTGGAGCAAGCAGGCATGTGTGTATGTATCAGTCTGAGGTCTTTGGTGGTCACTGGGCACCAGAAACCTGCTCCAAGATTTAGGGGGCTGAGGTGTGGGTGTGGGTGTGTGTGTGTGTGTGTGCAGGTCCTCTGCTAAATTGACTGTCTAGTAGTGGAGCCCAATTAAAAAACTCTAGTAAATCTATTTTGATATGTAAAAGAGGCTATTATAATGAAAGACAACATGCAAATCTTTGATTTTCTTTGAGCCCTGAAGATTGGGCCAAAGGGACTTGAGAGTGATCCAAGAGGCTTCCCTGGACCTATGGGACTAAGCTACGCCGCCGTGTTGTGTGGAGGTGAATTGGGAGCATGCAAATTACCTCGTGCTGGTACTTCTCCGGGCCAGCAGCAGAACGGGGCTTTGCAAAGAAGTGTGTGCCCTCCCTAGCTCCAGCTGGATGCAGCTAACCGAGAACCTGACAGGCCCCGGGGAGGGGGTCAGGGTCTGCAGAGCAGCCCGGGTGCCGCCCCCACCTCCTGGGGTCCTTTCCGGGCCAGCTCCCTTCCTGAGGACGCGGTCTGTTTCTCCCCAGAAGGAAGAGGCCCCGCAGAAGGGACTCGTTGAGCCACCCCCGCTCTGCTCCATGTTGGCGGTGCCCTCAGGTGAGACGGCTCGGGCGCCCGAAGCCGGTGGGGGGGGGAGGGGGGACGGGACACCGGACACGAGGCAGTTTTTTGAGGCCGGGGAGCCCTGCGAAGTGGTCAGCGGTCAGTAGTTGTCCTGGGGTCCTCCTCGTCCTCCGGGCAGGAGACAGGTGACCACTGCTGACGTCTCTGGTCTGCGGACTTGGGAGCCTTTGACCTTCGTCATGACCTGAGCCAGCCCTGGCCGCCTCCAGCCCCAGCGTTTGCCATCCTGGGGTTGGATGCTGGCCAGACGAGCGTGGCTAAGGTTAACCCTTGCCTTCTGTGGCCCGAAGTGTGTCAGTCTTTCTCCAGTCTCTGACCAACAGCCCCCCCCCCCCCGAACGCCCTCCCAACTCACCTCCCTGATGTCAGAGGCCCTGCCCCTCCGCCCAGCCTCTGACATCCCCCCCACCCACCCCCACTTCTCCCATCCAGGCTGGCGCCATGCCCCCCCCAGCAGAGGTGACGGACCCGTCCCATGCCCCCGCCGTCCTGCGCCAGCTCAATGAGCAGCGGCTCCGCGGCCTCTTCTGTGATGTCACTCTCATAGCTGGAGACACCAAGTTCCCTGCTCACCGCAGTGTCCTGGCTGCTTCCAGTCCCTTCTTCAGAGAGGCCCTGCTTGCTTCAGCTCCGCTGCCCCTCCCACCAGTTACTGGGGGCCCTGCCCCCAACCCCGCCGCCACCACAACTGCCTCCTCCTCTTCCTCCTCCTCCTCCTCTTCCTCCTCCTCCTCCTCTTCTTCCTCTTCCTCTTCTTCCTCTTCCTCCTCTTCCCCCCCTCCGGCCTCACCCCCCACTTCCTCCCCACCCCGGGTCCTGGAGCTGCCAGGGGTCCCGGCAGCTGCCTTCTCGGATGTCCTCAACTTCATCTACAGTGCCCGGCTTGCCCTACCCGGCGGCGGAGGGGACGGGGCAGCGGTGGCGGAGATCGGAGCTCTGGGGCGGCGTCTGGGCATCTCACGCCTGCAGGGCCTGGGGGAGGGAGGCGATGCCTGGGTACCTCCTGCGCCAGCCGCCATGGCCGCCTCGCAGCCCGCAGACGAGGGCTTCGGGCCTGGGCCGAGGCCCGCCGCGGAGTGGGAGGGCGACAGGGCTGAGGCCCAGGCCTCTGACTCGCAGGCCCCCCTGCCCCGGCGGCCGCTGCCCTGCCCGCGATGCGGGAAGAGCTTCATCCATCCCAAGCGGCTGCAGACCCACGAGGCACAGTGCCGACGGGGGGCCGGCACTCGGGGGTCTGCGGGGCTGGGCTCCGGGGGCTCGGGCCCCAGCGGGCCTGCGGGCGTGGACGCCTCCGCCCTGCCCGCGCCGGTGGGCTTCCGAGGCGGCCCCGAGCACGTGGTGAAGGTGGTGGGCGGCCATGTGCTGTACGTGTGCGCCGCCTGTGAGCGCTCCTACGTGACCCTGTCCAGCCTGAAGCGGCACAGCAACGTGCACTCCTGGCGGAGGAAGTACCCCTGCCGGTACTGTGAGAAGGTGTTCGCGCTGGCGGAGTACCGGACCAAGCACGAGGTGTGGCACACTGGGGAGCGCAGGTGAGTGGCCTGGCGGCCGGAGGCGGGGGGGGGGGGGGCGGGGGAGGGCGGGGGGTGGTGGTGGCGGCCGGCGCCGAGCGGAGCTGGGCAGGAGTCTCGGGGTGCCAGGGACCACAGCCGGGAGGAGTGGGCAGAGCGTGGGGGCCCAGAGAGTCGCGCCGACACTGGCCCGCTCACCCACTCACCCCTGCTCCCTGTCACTGGTGCAGCCGCCTCCCTCCAGCCTCGGCTCCCTCCCCCCGATGCTCACTAGCACCTCTGGGTGCCGGGGCTGGCCTGGCCTGGTGCTGTGGGGAAGGCCGGGGCGGGAAGAGGAAGCTGCCCGGATAGGAAGGGGGGGGGAGGAGCAGACATGCCCGCAGGGAGCCGGAAGGTGTCTTTCCTCCATACGTCCCTGCTCCTGAGACATTTCTACCCCCTGCCCTCCGCTCTGTCACCGGAGCTTCCAAAGAAGGCTTTGTGAGTTAGGCAAGGCGTGTGATTATTCCCGGTTCGCAGATGGACCAGCTGGGGCCTAGCGTCTCACAGCCGGTGGGGGGCACTGAGCTAGGACTGGTACCTCTCCTGAGGCTGGCAGGATGGGACAAGCAGCATGAAAGGAGGGTGAGCTCTGCGGGAGCCATAGGTCTGAGTGGAGGACGTGGGCAGCTGAGGCCCTGGCTTCAGGGCCCCTGACTCCAGTTGTCTCTGTCCCCGCCCTGTTCCCTGCTGTCCTGGCCCAGGTACCAGTGCATCTTCTGCTGGGAGACCTTTGTCACTTATTATAACCTGAAGACCCACCAGCGAGCCTTCCATGGCATTAGCCCCGGCCTCTTAGCCAGTGAGAAGACACCCAATGGAGGCTACAAGCCCAAGCTCAATACCCTCAAGCTGTACCGCCTGCTCCCCATGCGGGCAGCCAAGCGGCCCTATAAGACCTACAGCCAGGGAGCCCCCGAGGCCCCCCTCTCTCCAAGCCTCAACACACCGGCCCCCGTAGCCATGCCTGCCAGCCCGCCGCCCGGACCCCCACCCGCCCCCCAGCCCGGCCCCCCACCCTCTGTCATTGCTTTCGCCCGCCCCGCTCCCTCTGTCATTGTTCACGGGGGCGGTAGCAGTGGTGGAGCAGGGGGTGGGCCGGCCAACACGGGGGGAGCCCAAGCTGCCTCGGTCATCACTTACACTGCTCCCCCGAGGCCCCCCAAGAAACGTGAGTACCCACCGCCTCCCCCTCAGCCTGCAGCCACGCCAGCCAGCCCGGCCACGGCGGGCAGCCCGGCCACCGCCGCGGGGCCGGCCGCAGCCACGGAGGAGGCCAAGGGCCGGAACCCACGGGCTGGAAGGACTCTGACCTACACGGCCAAGCCAGCCGGCGGGATTGGCGCGGGTGGGGGTCCCCCTGCGGGGCCCGGCCGGGGCCCCTCTCAGCTACAGGCTCCACCTCCACTGTGTCAGATCACGGTGCGGATCGGCGAGGAGGCCATTGTCAAGCGCCGCATCTCAGAGACTGACCTGCGTCCCGGGGAGCTGAGCGGAGAGGAGGCGGAGGAGAGCGACGACGACGACGACGACGACGACGACGACGACGAGGACGCGGACGAGGACGGGGACGAGGACGAGGAGGGGTCGCGGGCTGGCGCGGAGGACCAGCTCTGGCGGCCCTACTACTCCTACAAGCCCAAGCGCAAGGCCGGGGCGGCGGGCGCGGGCGGCAGCGGGGGCGGCGCGCTGCCCCGGGGCCGCCGGCCGCCCCGCTGGAGACAGAAGCCGGAGCGCAGGGGCTGGGAGGACACGCCGGCGGCCGAGGGCCCCGCGGGGCGCGCCCGGGCCGAGCGGAGGCACCGCTGCGCGGATTGCGCCCAGACCTTCGCCAGCCTGAGGAAGCTGCGCAAGCACCAGGAGGCGCACGGCGGCGGCGCGCACGGCTCCCGCGCCGGCCGCAGGCCCTCGGGCCGCTTCGCCTGCCCCCACTGCGCCAAGGTGTGCAAGACGGCGGCCGCCCTGAGCCGCCACGGCCAGAGGCACGCGGCCGAGCGGCCCGGGGGCACCCCCACGCCGGTCATCGCCTACTCCAAGGGCAGCGCCGGCACCAGAGCCGGGGAGGTCAAGGAGGAGGCCCCCCAAGAGATGCAAGTCTCCTCGTCCAGCGGCGAGGCAGGCGGCGGGAGCGCTGCTGCTGCTGCGGAGGGAGCGTCCGAGACCGCCTCTCTCCAGGACCCTGTCATCTCAGGGGGTGAGGAGCCCCCGCTGGTGGCAGGAGGGGGCACCTATGCATATCCGCCTGTGCAGGAATTTCCACTGGCTCTGATTGGGAGCGGCAGGGAACCTAGTGGTGGGAGGGGGAAAAGTGGCAGCGAGGGGCCGGTGGGGGCTGGGGAGGGGGACCGCGCGGAGGGGTTGGGGGCTGCCAAAGTCACCTTCTACCCAGAGCCCTACCCGCTCGTCTATGGCCCCCAGCTCCTTGCCGCTTACCCTTACAACTTCAGCAACCTGGCCGCTCTCCCGGTTGCTCTTAACATGGTCCTACCTGATGAGAAGGGTGGGGGGGCCCTTCCCTTCCTTCCAGGGGTTTTTGGCTACGCAGTCAATCCTCAAGCAGCACCCTCTACTCCCCCAACCCCGCCTCCGCCCACTCTTCCTCCACCAGTCCCCCCTAAGGGGGAAGGGGAAAGGGCAGGGCTTGAGAGAACCCAGAAGGGAGATGTGGGGTGAGCTCTGGGCCCACCTCCCCCCTTTCACCAGATGCCACCCTCCCCGAACCCCCTGCCACTACCAGCTCCCTGGCTTCCCTGCCCCTTGGGAGCCCCTCCACACTCTTGTGCAGGGACTTGGGGGCCCCTGGAGCTCAGGGGTCAGGCTGCTTTGTGTGAGATTGTAGTTTTCCCATCTCCTGGGAAGGGATCTTGGGTGGTTCCCCTCTCAGTTCTCCTCCAGGGAATGGCCTCCATGAGGGGCAGGGCCAGCTCCCATCCTTTCTCCAGCCCTTGGGGCAACTGAGCAATATACTTATATGAATCTCTACTCACGGCCCCCACCAGCTCTGAATGTCTAACCTACCCTCCTGATTCGTAAACCCCCGGGGGGGGGGAAACCATCTCTCTCGCCTAGTGACCTCCCCTCATTCTGAAGCTTTCTCTAAGCCCCTGCCTAGATGCTTCCTAGCACATTCCATTCTTCGTGGCCCAGGGCCTGGACCAGACCATTGTGATACCTGACACCCGCCCATCTGGAAGCATGGCTTCCATTCTTCCCAGGGGTGGGTTTCTGCGTCCCTGTCTCCTTGGCTTCCATGCCTTTAGATCTTCCATATTCCTCCTCACTCTCCTAGACTCTGGAGGTGGCCTCTTCCAGTCCAGGTCAAGGAGGTGTTGGGGGGAGGGCTACCCATCTGTTCCACGGCTGAGCACTTTCCCAGCCCAGGGCAGCACTAATCTTGGCCCTATCTTGACCCCCAAATCCAGTGAGCCCCAGATTCTTCCAAGGCAAAGAGGTGAGTAGATCACACCTCTTCCTGCCTCTACCTATGGCCTCTTCTGGGCTAAATCAGATTTGGGGGCCAGGAGGAGGGAGCTCCATATGGGACGGGGAAGGGAATCTACTTTCTCCCTGGTTTTGTTTTGTTTTGTTCTTTTCCTGATGGTTTCTCCCAAACTAGACCAAATAGCCAGAAAAGTGATGGGGGTTGGATGGGTGGGTAAGCCCAAGATTTGCACATGACCTCCCATCCTTACCTTTACCTCCATTTTCCCCAGTTTCGCCTCCCTCACCATCCACTCCAGGTGGTTTTTGGGGAACCATCCTACTCTCTCGGTGGGCTTTGGGGTATCCCCACCAACTTTTCCTCCAGAATAGCACCTTACACCCCATCTTTGACTCAGTTCCCCACACCCAAAGATCCCAGCCTAGGGATGGGGTGCAGGGACCTTAAACAGTCCCTAATCCCTAATTTGCACTAGTTAACCCTGGTCAGGGGTCCGTACGTTTCCTTCCAGTGGGGGAGTTGAAGAAATGTTTGCTCCTAATTCTCTCTGACGACCGGGCGTCCCCACTCTGTGATCGGATGAACATTTCCCATCCCACCCACCTCCCCCCTCCCAAAAAAAAAAAAAAAAAACCACAAAACAAAAAACAGCTCACAAGGGGAGAGTCAGGTTGGGGGAGCAAATCTGATAAATGGGAATTAGAGGAGTGCAGTTTAAAAGGGGGAAATGCTGCCACCATTGAGATGGGAGCTTAATCCCAGCTACTGTTTTCCGGGGCCAAGATGGCTGCCCTGTCTCGTGGCTGAAAGGGCAAGATCATGGCTTTTGGAGGGAGGTGAGCTTGGGGGAAGGACCAGGAGCATCCTCCTGCCACCCCTTACCCTCCTAGTCTACAGGAAGGGGGAGGTTTTTGACAGGCTCCTGAATGTTAACCACGGAGGAGTGTCATTCCTTCTCTCCTCCTCTGTCTCTTTGCACTTTTCCTGGTCTTGGCCACAGTCCGAGTGAAGAGTTCCTACTGAATGTACCAAGTTCCAATTTTTAAGGGGGTAAAATGCTTAAAACGGGAAATGCAAAAAAAAAAAAAAAAAAATCACTAAAAAATTCCCACAAATCTCGTTTCTGGCACTTTAGAAAAACTGCGAAAAAAGAACATAATAAAGAATACATATATATATATCTACACACAAATTTTATATACACACACACACACACACACATATATATATATACACACACATACACACACACACACAGCGGAACCACAAGGGAGACAGAAGCCTTGGAGGCAGGGGGGCAGACGTGATGACAGCTCTCCCATATCCTTAACCTGCACTCCTCTGAGGCAGAAAGGCACAGGTAACGGAAGGAGTTGAGGATGGACCGGGGGATTTGAATTTCAGAACAGGTCAAAATTCCAAAACCACGGACATTTTCGGGAGAACTGAGATTGTAGACACTTATTTTTTTGGAAAATATGATTTAGGAAACTAGCTTCCAGAATCTGGTGGTTCTGGGCAACAAATGAGATCGTGGCAAATTGGAGATTAAAATACGTGTATCCGAGCTGGGGAACTTGAATATTGTGACTTTCAGATGTTGGAAATTTGGGATTTTGCAATTCCGTCTTTTGAAAATTATTCAAGTCTTGTCAGTTTGTGCCCTCTCTCCCCGTTCCCTGGGGAGAAGGGTGATGGTGGAGTGGAAAGGCCACTGGTTCTGTGCCACAGCACGCAAGGTTTAGAATCCTACAGACTGTAGCTCTATACGTAGTGAGGACCCAGATTTAGAGAAACTGACCAATATTTATCTCCGCATCTGTGTGTGTGTCCAACTCTCTAGGCCAATAAACCAACAAGACAAACAAACTGTGCTCCGCACTGGGATGCCAAGTGCACTTCTTTGCGTGGCTGGCGAGTCGGCTGGATAGGGACGTGCTTACCTTGTCCCCCAGGGATCCTGGGAGCTGCGGCTGTATGATCCCTCTGAGGGCAGGGCCTCCAGCAGCTGAGGAGGTGTGAGGGCTTGGGGACCCTGCGTACTTCACTATAACGACTGCAGCCACTAGGGCTCAAGCTGACTTTGGCCTGACCTCCAGGCAGAAACATTAACTCAGCTTCAGTTCGCACAACCTGCTGGGCACAAGATCCTAATGTCCCGTGCGCCTTACACTTGGTGCGACCTGCTCTCCGAATCGAAAAGAAATGGGCATAAAGTGAGGGATGGTCGTGAGATACCACCACCTTTTCCTACTCCTCGCCTCTCATTGTCTTCAACTCCTCTCCCCACCCCTCTCCTGGCTTTTGTCTAATGTTACAGAGGAACAGGCAAGTAAAATGAGCCAAGCTGGTCAGCTGGGTGGGGGCTTTGAGGAGTTCTGGTGCAAACACCTTGACCAGGGTGGGCCGCCACACGCATCAGCACTAGCAGGTTGCTGCCAACAGGGGAATCAGGCCCGGTGTTACTGTAGTTTAATTTTTTTTTTTTCCCCAAGAGAAGCCAGAAATCCAAATTTCTCTGTGCAATATCCAAATTTTTAAAGTAGCTAACTCACACTAAAAATTATACAGGCCAACAACATAGGTCACACAAACATACCAGTTTGCAAACTCTGATGTATACTGTGTAGAGCTTTTGCTCCCATCTTCTCATGTGACCTTCAGACTTGGGAACAGATACTATTCTTAGCTTCATTTTACAGTCATGGAATCTTAAGCCCAGAGCGGCTTAGTACCTTATCCAAAGTTTGAGCACCAAAGCTGGAACCTAAATGAAGGTTTTTTTAAAATGCTCTTTTCCCCCCTCATTACAAATGCATCCTTTTAGAAATAACTTTTTCTTTTTTAATCCTAAGGATAACGCTTATTACAAAACAATAAATTACAGGAAAGTAAAAACAAAGAGAATGACCACTAGTCCCAGTATGCAAACATAAGCACTATTAACTGATATAGTTCCTTCCAGGAAAAAAAAAAAATTCTCTAATCACTCAACAAATGTGAAGCACCTACTATCCTACAGGTCAGGACCTGTGCTAGGTACTGGGGTATTACAGTGAACGAGACACAGTTCCTGCCCTCCTAGGGCGTACAATCTACTTCTCCTTCTTTGTTCCATTCTACCGGCAACCTAGTGTTGATATCCAAAGGAACTTCTACAAGAAGCCAAAGAATAAATAAACCGATAGTGCATTTCTTGTGGGGCCCAGGGCTTCAGTCGGCCCCGTCCCACTTGGGCGCTCTCCCCAGAAGGGCAATGATATGGGAAGCCTGGATTCCTAGTGGAGTCGAGAGGCAGAAAGGCACAGGCCTTGACAGCACTGCCCAACTCTCAGTTCAGCTGGCCGAGGACCTGCGTCTTGGCCCTCTGTCCTCAAGGAAAGGGGTCGGCAGGGGGCAAGTGGTACGAAGCGTCCAGGAAGATGACGAGGGTCCCAACGCTCGTGAAGATGATGAAGGTCCACAGGAAAAGGCGATCCACTACCATGGCCACAAACTGCCAGTCTTCTTTCAGCTGGGGGTAGGCAGAGTAAACGGTCCCTGAGCTCCAGAGCCCCAGGGAAGGCCTGCCCCGTACCCTCGCCCTTGTCCTAGGGCTCAGAGACAAGGGCGGGCCGCGGGACCGAGGAAAACGAAACTGCGGACGACCGACGGAGCGAGGAACCAGTCGGAAAGCAGGGGGCGGGACCAAAGGAGGCGAGCTTCCAATCAGAAACAAGAACGGGTGCTAGGGGCGGAGCCTGGGTCTGCCGGGGTGAACTGCTCCACCCTCATTGGACTTACCGCGTCGCGGTCCTCCTGCTCCTGCAGCTGCCGAGCGATGTAGCTGATGGAGGAAACGGCCTCCCGTAGCTCGGGAGGCAGGCCCACAGCCCGGGTTGGACCATCGGTAAGTCGCCGCAGGTCCGGGGCGGTCAATTCAGGCTGGAACCTGGAAGAGGCGCGACAGTTTGGCCACGCTCAAGGCTCCGTCCCGACCCCCTCCTCCAACACTCTGACAAGAGTTTTCCAAAACGTGAGAAGGCCCTTTAGGCTCTCCCCGCCAGCGGCGACCTCTCCAGCTTCCCGCAATTTCTCCCATCTCTATACGCCTTAGTCTCCGCCTTTCCGCAAAGTAGGCGGTGGAAAGGGGGGGTGGGTACTGCAATTCCCATGATGCCCGAGGGCATCTTCTGGGACCTTCAGCCGCCTGCCTCCGCACAGTCCTCTGGGAAGTGTAGTTCCCTCTCTCCCTTCCTTGTAGGCGACGGGGAGTAGGTACTACCTGTTGGGTTTGGGGAAGAGAAAATCGTTCGGTGGCTTCCGGATGAAATATTCATCTGTTCCCCGACCCCAGCCACTTCCTGGAGAATTCCTGAGGGCTACAGGAGGTGGCTCCGGCATCAGGTCTCTCTCAGGTTTGGGCCTCTTCAGACCCAGGTATAGAGGGAGTTTGTGGATGAAGATCTGCTGAGTAGAAAGGCGTGTTGGCGGGGGCTCTCACACTTTTGAGACCGGCAGGGAAGCAGCCCGCCGTTCCCATCCACCCGCCCATCCCCGCGCATGCGTGCGCGCGTCCCCCCAGCCACACAGCCTCCAGAGCTCCTAAGTGGGTTGCGAGGCGTCCTGGCTGGAAAGAAAAGTTCCGAGGGCTTCCACCCTGACAGGGCCTGACTCTGAGACTGTTTCCCTGAGACCCAGTATGAGCAGTACTGCCGAAGAAAGTAAGGAATCTATGACATGACTGTGTCGGGAGGGTAGAGTTAACTGCGCAACGTTTCGACATCCAGCAGGCCCCGGCACTAGAACATTCTACCAGGAGTTGTAGTTCTCCCTTAGGTCTGAGAAAGGGAAGGTTTAAGTTGGTAGGCGGGTTGCAGGAGTGATACCTGCACACAAAAAACAAACACCAGGACTGAGAGTTAACACAGGTCGAAGGACGACATCTTACCCGGCGGACCCAAACGGGCATTTGGTGGGTGTGGGGTGAGCGGTGGTGCAGGTTGAGGACTACGACGCTAAGGATGACTGAGAAAGTGACGAGGACCATGGTAAACATGAGGTACTTGATAATGATGGGGACAGACAGGGAGGTCTCGGGGACTTTGTCTGCCAGCAGCAACAGGAACACGGTAAGGGTCAGCAGCGCAAAGATGGACAGCCCCATCTTCTCTCCTTGCGGGCCAGAGGGGAAGGCAGAAGAATTAGGCTTTGCCAGAAGGCAATTTCCATGGCATCATCAGTGACCTCCAGCCCACACAAGGCCAGGCTTTTGGGAAGGCCAGCTGCATGCAGATGACTCTTAGATTATACCTCCAGCCCAGACTTAACTCTCCTAAACCCCAGATTTATGGCCACCTGCTGATTTAACCTCTCTGCTTGGATGTCCAATAGACATCTCAAACTTAACATGTCCCAAAACGAATCCCCTGACCACCAAACCCTCCCACAGGCTCCCGAATTTCATGAATGGCAAATCCATCTTTCCTGGGGCTCTGGCCAAAGTCCTATCAGCCATTCTTAACTCTCCTCTCTCGCTCTGATCCCATATCCAATCCATAGCAAACCCTACTGGCTGTACCTTCAAAATACATTCGTACAAAGCACCATTACCTCGGGTCTGAGTTATTATAAAGGCCTCCTCTTTGCTTCATTCTATTTCCCCCTGCTGACTGTTCTCAACAGAGCAGCCAGATTGATCCTGTTAAAATGTAAATCAGATGGTATCACTTCTCTTTTCAAAACCTTCCAGTGGCTTCTCATCCTCTTTAGCATAAAAGCCCAGTCCTTAGTGTGGTTGACAAGGCCTTCTTCCCATTATCTCGCTGACTTTATCTCCGACTGTTTTTCTCTTGCTTCCTTCATTCAGTTATCCTGGCTATTTCTTGAATATGCAAGGCTCACTCCAGTTCAGGGTCTTTGCATTCACTGTTAACTCCACTTGGTACATTCTTCCCCCAGGTATCTGCCAGGGTCATTCTCTCACCCCCTTCAACTCTTCAAATGCTGATCAAATATTTCCTTTTTATTGAGGCATTCACTGACTATTCTCTATCTTTTTAAGATTTTATTTTCAAGTAATCTCTACACCCAGTGTGGGGCTTGAACTCACAACCCCGAGATCAAGAGTCACGTGCTGTACCGACTAAGCCAGCCAGGGGCCCCTGACTGTTCTATTTTATTTTTATTTATTCTTTTGGCAGGGGGAGGGGCAGAGGGAGAGGGAGAGGGAGAGAATCTTAAGCAGGCTCCATGCCCAGCGCTGAGATCATGACCTAAGCAGAAATCAGGAGTCGACACTGAACCAACTGGGCCACCCAGGCGCCCCCTGGCTGTTCTATTTTAAATTGTAACCCCTACCGCCATTCTCATCCTCCCTAACCACTTTTCCTACTTTATTTTCTCCTTAGGACTTGTCCTCTTCTAATATACTACCTAATAGATTTACTTATCTTGTTTATTGACTGTCTCCCCACTAGAATGTAAACTCCACAAGGGCAAGGATTTTTGTCTCTTTTATTCACTGATGTAGTCCCAGTGCCTACCTAACACGTTATAGATGCTAAACAAATATCATGGCATGAATGAATAGACCAACCCTTGTAGCTTTTTTTAAGGAACTAAATAGCAATTTGAAGGATTTAAAAAAGGAAACAAAGTATATAAGGATATGCCAGGTGGCTGATTATTCCTGTGGCATAAAATAGGCACCTCAAACTTCAAGGAAGGTATTGAAATAAAAAACTTTTATGGTCTGCTCTACTTAAGTCCTATATAATATTGGGTTCCAAGATTTGCTCTGCTCCGGGAGGAAGTAGAAGTTACATTTGGAAGTGTGTTCTAGAGCTGGATCACTTTCCTTCCCTAGATAGAGAACTTGATGCCAGAAAGAAGGAAAGCATACTTTAAATACCAGAGTTAAGGATTTCAGTCTCAGAATCAGACTGGCACCAACCAGAGTTGGAATCGCGACAATACCCCACTGTAACTGTAATGTGGGGCAAATGACTTAAACTCTCTCAGCGTCTTCGTCCTTTTCTGTAAAGTGGGAAGACAATTCAGTATTCACCTCACAGAATTGTTCTAAAGATTAGAATTGAGTTAATGTAGGAGCGCCTGGGTGGTGCAGTCGGTTAAGGGTCTGACTGTTGATTTCGTCTGGGGTCACAGTCTCTGGGTCATGAGAGTGAGCCCCGTGTCTGGCTCAGCACTCAGCGCAGAGTGGGCCTGAGATTCTCTCTCTGCCCCTCCCCCTTCTAAAATAAATAAATAAATCTTAAAAAAAAAAAAAAGAATTGAGTTAATGTATGTAGCATGTTGGGGCGCCTGGGTAGCTCAGTTGCTAAGTGTCTGTCTGCCTTTGGCTCAGGTCATGATCCCAGGGTCCTGGGGTCGAGCCCCGCATCGGGCTCCCTGCTGAGTGGGAAGCCTGCTTCTCCCTCTCCCACTCCCCCTGCTCATGTTCCCTCTCTGGCTGTCTCTCTCTCTCTCTGTCAAATAAATAAAATCTTAAAAAAATGTATGTGACATGTTAACTGTACTACTTACAGCAAGTGCTCAAAAATAGTAAAAATAGTAACAATTACATAGAACTTACTTGGTACCAGGCATAGTTCTATTAACTCAATTAATCCTCAAAATAATCCTGTTAGGGGGCGCCTGGGTGGCTCAGTTGGTTAAACGACTGCCTTCGGCTCAGGTCATGATCCCAGGGTCCTGGGATCGAGCCCCGCATCGGGCTCCCTGCTCGGCGGGAAGCCTGCTTCTCCCTCTCCCACTCCCCCCGCTTGTGTTCCCTCTCTCTCTGTCTCTCTCTCTCTCTGTCAATTAAATAAAAAATAGTAATAATAATCCTGTTAGGTAGGGACACATAGGAAGGAATTTGCCCAAGGTTACTCTGTAACTACATTATGCTGCCCCCTAGAGAAATGTTGCTATTATTTCCAAGGGAATCTCCAAGGG